TTTTCCCCCCTTCTCACCCTGAATTCGAGTTAACCGTGAGAAATTCGTTATCGGGAGTGAAAATTTCATTCGAGATATCCGGAAATTCGAGATAAGCGAATTCGAGTTAAACGGAGCATTTAACATGGTGTCCTACGGGGTTCCGCCGGGACCAAGCTTTGAACTTCGAGATAAGCAGAATTTCGACTTATCAGGATTCGAGTTAACGAGTTTTCACTGTATTTTGATACTCATAGTTCCTGAAGTCTCATGAGAAGCAATAGGCCTATCTAAAGTGAAAATAGTTGGGTTATTCCACAAGTCTGTCAGCTGGGATACACATAATCCAGCTAATAATACCAACAGGTTCATGAACGGATTAGAGGCGTCCTGATGTTAAACTGTAGGTAGGATTGGGTTTAGTCTTGAGGACATGTGAAAGGTGCCTAAGATGGATTATGGGTCGAGGCCTATCCACAACGAAAGTGATTCGTTCTACAAGGACACAAGCAGGTCTACCCTTGGTGTCTCTACTGTGAGGACTTAGCCCTAAAGTGGACAGTTTCCCAAGGAATTCGCCTTATTCAGCTAGTGCAACGAAATGGAGAGTTAGGGACGTAGTATATGGACCGGCATCGCGGAAGTTGAAGCCTCCGCCACGAGCGTAGAGGCCAGTACTGCATACATCACTGCCATCGACGTTTCCACCTAAAATCCACGTCGAATCGACGTATCTGTGCCACACGGGATACCTACAGGTCACACGGTGCAATAGAGGGTTATGAGGCCCGGGGCAAGTAGATTATTGGCTCTCACCCCCCCCTCTCCCCCTCCCCAGACATTTTACTTGGTGGTTCAAGTAGCCGAGAAGAGTCACACAGTCGAGCGTTGGTAGTGCAAATTTTGATTTTTAACATCTGCTACTTTAAGCAAATACTTAACGATTTTAATTTCCTTCGGGGGTTGGGGGGGGGGGGCCCTGGAAAAGTGGGGCCCGGGGCAACTGCCCCCTTTGCCCACCCCCCTCCCCCCCATTAATCCGGCCCTGGGAACAGACAAAGAAGAGAGGCAAAAGGTCAAAGAGGAAAAGAGCCGAAAAACTGAAAGAAAACAAGGAAAGGAATAACAAGGGTAGTGGGAAGTAGAAAAAGCGCGAGGTGGAGAGTGGAGGTAGTGAACTTTCAGTCATTACTGATCTCGCGGCAGCTGAAGATGATGGAGGTGACGAAGGAATCGAACTTTCACCTTCAGAAATCACTGCTGCAGATAACGATGCCCTAGTCAGGAATGCTAGGGGTTCGGGACGACCCAAAAAGTAGAAGTTGGTCTAGAAGACAGCACTGCCATACTTACAAGAAGGTAGTGGAATCGGAAGGAAGCGCAGCAGGTGGAATTTACATGAAGATGGCGTGCGCCCACCCTTCGATGACGTATGAAGGAGACCGAATTCCTCAATTGCGCTTCGTTTTCCTTTTTTTTTTTTTTTAAAGAGGATTCATGTCTCATTTTAAAAATGCTTGTGGTCAATAATTGGATCCGAACTGGCTAAACACTGGTGTAAAGTCCCAAGAAATGGGTTTTTCGTCACATTATTCAATTTTGTTCATGATATTCATGTACTTCAGGAATAAAGGAAAATCAATGTCACCAGTGTATTTGCATCTCATTTCACTATTACTGAAGCAGAAAGAATCGTCGCTACGGTTTGCCTCAAGCCCAGAGGAGCCATTGCAAGCTCTGCGATGGGCTTAAGTGGCCAAAAACTGGGGTGTTTACCCTACCTAACACACTTACAGGCCTTTAGGATCAGGATATCTTCCACAAAAGGTATATTAAGACAAGATAAAGGCCCTTACCTGCCCAGTTAGACCTGAAATCCAGAGGAAGCGTCAAGTGTAAGATGCCATTCCTTATTTGCGATTTTACTAGAACCTTTACCCCTAGGCAAAGGCATCCATTACGAACAACCTCAATCGATTTGGCAATGCCTAAGATAGAAGCCGCCAGAAAGTTCATTAGCGAGTGTACGCATTACTGGATTGGCCCTAATGGAATTGTGTGAGACTCACAGCTTGCTGTATCGAAGCCTCTTATCTCCAAAGACGTTGAGAGATATAGCCGGAGAGTAGAGCTGCGGAGATACGCTCTTCCTCAAATTCATCATGTAAACATCAGGTGTCCAGAGCTTTTGCACGAATCCCAAATTCAAGTTCCGTTGTTCTGTCGACGGAAATTCTGGAATGCTCAGTCGGGGTTCGTACCAGAACATCCTCATCACCATTTGAATAGTGAAGTCCTAAAAAAAAAAGATAGGATAAGGAGGCGTTATCACTTATCTTACTTATCTTGGATCACGTTGTCCTGGAAAATCTTTGAAGCTTTTATTTCATTAAACTGAGAGGCGTTTTTATCCTGTGTTATTAGAAACTAGTCTAAAAGCCCATGCGAGCACGGTTGAAATAAGTGGAAAGAGAACATTTGGTGCGTGACTTTTTGCTCCTTCTTCGTCAGTTTCACTATTCCTGAAAGCATCCTGCAAAGCAGCGTTTCGTGAACGTCATCATGCACTTTTATCCACTGATTGTGACTCCAGAACTTCTCTTTCTCTTACGTTCAGTAGATCCCGCCACAGAATAGTGAAACTTTCCCACTTTTTCGGGGCATTTTGAGAACGCCAACATTTAAAAAATAATAATATTGGAGCAACAACTCATGCTGGAAACATACTTGTGGCACTGTCTTAAACCGGCGACGGAACCTGTAACGCGACAAAGTATGACATAATATCATTGTCAGCAGTTAGGATAGCAACAACTTCCGTAGCCGACAATGCCTCATACCATCATTGTTGGTTGTGAGCACTTCGCCCAGGAAGACATTCAGTACGATGCAATTCTTAGCGCGGAAATTAAGCCTCATAATGTGAAAATTGTATAACTTTTTGAGCTCTTGACCCAATAGTTACCGCCACCAGGTTTCGAATGACACCCACTATATAAAACTGAGACACAAAACGAATTTGGAATTTTAAGTAATGAGATGGAGGGCGGGAGGACGGTTCCCGTCATCAGAGACTCCCCATTTCCCTTTGTAACGGTGAGTTCCACCGCATAGCATTCTAAAGGGACACAACTTTAAAATTTCAAACAAACATGCTCTCGATAAATTATAAGGGAAGACGTTTCGTCTATAGGGAAACCCCAATCGCCTTTATGCAAATGTTCAACGAGTTCCGCTTCTTAACGTGAAAGCGAAATTCGTTGTTTTCATTTAAGAACGCTACGGTAGAAAAGGGAAGATTTTGAACTTGGTCGGGTTGCGGATCGGCTCGATAGGACCGATCAGGTCCGTGCATCGGGCATGAAGGTCGATCGACAATCTAGTTTCCGGTCGGGTGCGAGAGAATGCGTAATTTGAGACCTCGAGTTCTGACGCTCAAATGACACAACAGGCTTCGGATCTGTACCGAACGCGTGACCTCATTACATGAAAATAGGACGAATTTTCGGACTTTTTGATCCAGGAAGTATCGCCTCCTGTCATGCGATTACAATTGACATCTCACTCATAAAAATCCGTTCATTCGTGTAAGAAGAGTTTCCCCGGAATGACATCCTGACACAGACAGATTATCCTATTATGTATATGCCTATGGATGAGAGATGGCCAGGCATCGATTTCACACAACCCATCCCTAAGAAAGAGGTTTTTCTGGCGTATAGGAAAGTTTTCATGAGTTTCAGATTTCCCGATATAAAAGTCTCGGTTTCCCATGCCAAAGACACGCTTCGCCACCCCTGTCTGCTTGCACAGAATGCCCTTCATTCTGAACCGTTACAATCGAAATGCGTTTCTGCGCAGATATGCATGGGTCCCTTCGTCCCCCCCCTCCCCCCTTGAGGCAAATATGTCATCAGAGACCTGGGGCCTGTTCCTCGCCTCTGCTAAACTTAAATCTAAATCTAGATTAAGAGAGGGAGAGCAAAGGGGACTGTTACCCCAGCCCCCACTCTTCCAGGGGGTCCCCGATGGAAATTAATAACATCAAGTACAAAAAAATATTGTATTTGCGTTGTAGCGGGGGGAGGGGGGGGGGCAGGAATTCACTTCCCCCGGGCCGCGCAACTTCTTAATCTGGCACTGCTTAAGATGAATTGCCATCATTGTCTCCTACATCGGGCGGAGAGAGTTCCTCCTCTGAGTCGTTTTAGATATCCTCGTACTCAGTGTCCAAGGATACAATTTCATTCAGTTAATCTCCATCTCCATCTCCAGCATTCAGATTGATTTGCTGATCGCTAGATCCTTCCATGACGGTGACAAAGTTGTTCTTGAAGGAAATACTCATATGGATCTCATTCCCGATTCCCGAGTACTTGAACGTCTTCAAAAAAAAGCTCAGTAGCTCAGACAATTCAACTAACTGACTGAATGTGGCAACAAAGTCAGCGGGAGAAAACTTGTATGTGATGTCACTCAAGTTACTGCATATGCCATCTAAATTTCTCAAGTTTCTTTTCCATACTTCCCACAAGATTTGAAGTCCAGACAAAGTTGACCGATTGAGACCTACCAGCTCCGCAATTCAATTTGGAATGCCTATTTTGCTGTTCAGAGCAACAACCGACTGTGAAGGTGCTATGCCAATGTGTCCCTCTGCAAGCCAAGAGCTAAATTTGTTAATGGCCTTCGCAATATATGCATCGTGTGCAGACTTCCCATCTCAAGTTTCTATGTGGAGATATCGCATAATCACGATGCCATGATGGTAAGCGAGAACAGGTAGAGCCCACAAAGCGCTTTGATAGCATGATGCATTATCGCTCTGAAAGTCGAATCTCTTGAACTGAAGTTCTTTCTTTAATAGAATCTAGACAGCCTCGACAATCGATAAGAAAAATAAGGCATCTTGCTTGCTCTCATCCGATGTCACGTGATCCATGTAAACCCATTGAGACAGTGGCATACGGTGCCCATCATCATTGATTGAGCCAGCTAAAAATAATCATACCCCATGCCGACTCATCCCTCTTTCCCGTAGGTCTATTGTCTTCTCTCGGTAGTACATTGATTCAAGCTTGAAGTCAAGGACAACGTAGGCCTCACTCATCACACAGACCGACCTCCTCGCACCTTTTCCGCATTGCCTCCTTCGATTCATCAATCGACATTTGCTGATTCTTCACTCTCAGTCGATGGCCTATGAAGAGTCTTGCCCGTTTCTTGTAATCACGAAGTACATAATGGAAAGTGCTCTCATCCTCACGGTTATCAGAGATGTATGAAGAGCTTTCTTCACCTCACGAAGAAAAGAAAAGATCATCATGCAGCTCTCGCAATAGGCAATCTCGCTTCCCTCGTCGTCTAGACGCTCTTTCGTCATCTCCAAGCGCGAAGTATCATGAGTAGCACAATCCGCATCATGGGAAATATGTTGGCTGCACCCATACTTCAGAAACGCACGCATGATCTCCCATTTCTTCATATGGCCTTGTCGCAATTCAGAGACCCTGACTTTGGAATCAGTGATTCGCTTCAGATTATCGAAGACTTCATTCATGAGAATACCCGTGACAGTCAACAGCTCTCCTCGTCTTCGCCTCGACGTGGGTGAGGACATTCAATATCTTCATGAAGGTCATTCGTGAAAGACGATCTTCACTGGCCATAGATGACGATGCATTTATGTATTATAGTCAGTGGAAATCTGGGCTCTGCGTTTCTTCCTCACTGTAAGAGGAAGTGTTGGACTGTTCCAGTTACAATATCTTTCTCGTTCCTCACGATAAGAAGGATACACTCTCGGACAGCAAGATAACTGATACAGCAAAGTCCACTGATGTCCGTCGATATCTCTCCAGAGACCTCTTCGATGTCTTCAATGATTGTCCACTATCGAGTATTGAATTGTCTCTTCGGCCGTCAACTAAACTACCAGAGCATACGACAAAGCACGAATCCTCCTCATTACTGACTGTCACGCTACGAAGTTGTCAGGCTGGAAAGTTCGAAAGTTCAGAAAGGATCGGAAGCTGGCCCAGGTATCACGTTTTCTTCTTTGATGCATAAGACTTCAGGCCATGCAGGCCTAGAACATCCAACACTTCTGTTAGAGTTGGTTGCTGCGGTGAAGGTGCACTATGTATTCCTGTCTCGCCAAAACGTAGGTTTGGAGCAATGAGGATATTGGTGACAATGATGGTGGTGGTGACAAAAAAAACATTTGCTGGCGTTGCTCTTCTCAGACCTCAGAGAAGAAACCTGGCTCTTTGAGCGCCGTACTACACCTTCTGCGCTGAATGATGAGGTCCTCTGATGCAGCTTCTGATGCTGCCGATGAGGCCTCGGAATTTCTCGGAGGATGAAGGAGAGCAGCTGGAGGATATTTCTTCCAATACATTTTGGTCTCAACAGACAACCGTCATGATCGTATCCCCAATGACCGCATTGAAGACACCGTCCACTTCTCGAAATTTGCACTTGCATGAAAGCGTTGGAGGATAGGAATCTGGAGACATCTCTGCATTCATTTCCGCTTTAAAATCGAGCAGAAAACTCCAGAAAACGAGAGATTCTCAAAAAATATTATTACTTCGAGAGGTGCGGCCAGACGTTGGTTTTGGTAATGAAAAACTGTGACACCGCACCACTCTACACCACATATCTCGAAAACCATCAGTAGTTTGGAACTCCTCCTCACCTTGTTCGAATGCTGAGGTAGTGGCGAACATTCTGAACGCCCTAACACTGCAGTAATAAATTAGCCGGAAAATCTTAGTGCGGGACCTTCCACCCGCGCGTTGCTGTTGCCTGGAGCACCACCAATAGAGACTGTTCCAGGCCTTCCGCCAAACTATCTCATGTTTGAGCTATCCACTGGCTAAATAAATTTATTGCAAGTATATGCTAGGCTAAAGCCTCAAATTACAGGATCGGGCTTCATTATGTCTATGAACAGTTACTAAAAGTAAAATTCGGCATCTTTTTAGCACTTCTATAAGTGACCCTGTGCAAGAGATTTGGAGCAGTGCATGACTCTAGGAGAGCCAATCATGGACGGGAATTCAGCTCTGGAGAACGCTGCGGTAGTTCTCAAAAATGTGTTTCCCCTCTCGTCGTTCCTTCATATTAAGAGATACACAGTTGAAATATAGAGCATCTCACTTTACCTTCCATATGTGCCTATGCAAATATAAACTCCACAAGCCAGTACTCATGAAACATTCACGTCTTCGTATTTGAAATACGTATAAATAATTTCCTGATTGGGGCAAATGGAATTCAGTTGAATAGCATTCAAATGAGGCATTTCGCAGGATTTTTTGAACCGCCAAATTTGGGGTCATTAATAGATAGAGCATGTGAGATTATTCCGTCATCAGAGGCCCCCAATTGACTTTGAACCTAAAAAAAAACCTAACCCCAGTGCCTATAAAGAAATGATTAAGCGAGATCCCCCCGACGGAGCAAGGCTCGTCTCATTCGAGTGCGGGGGATGATTTCGAGCTCCGCAGGGAATGGGGATCAGCTCTATCAGGCAGACCCGACCGGCAGATCGGTTGGCAATCAACTTTCATGTTGGGTGCAGGCGAATACGCTAGAATACACTCAGAGGAGGTTTTTCTCGAGTCGTTTACAGCTGCTGGGAACAAGGACGCCTCGTTCCGTCAGCGCTCGATGCGATCACGTCATTAAATGACGTCACTCTCGGGCAAGGAACTATCAGTGGAACGTAGTGAACCATGAGAGCAACGAACAGGCCAACACCAATATGACGTCATGGGACGTCAGGTGGTAGCCTCAGCAGAGCCGGTAGAGCCGCTCAGAAAAAAGACGAACCCAGAGA